TGGGGGACAGGGAGTGAAAGAGGAGGGAAAAATCACTGGGAAAAATTAAGCAGTCTGAAAGAAGGGTGAGATTATGAAGATAAATGTTTACCTCTCCACTGCATTGTAGCTCTGGAAATGAAACTGTTTTTGAATAGTGCTGCATCTGTACGGCAAGAACATGGGCATTGTGAACAAATTGACTGTCTCAGATGATTTGACACATTTTGATTTCTGCTTAGGAAAATATCTGTTAATCCTATTAGAAAGAGAAGGAGACGGTCCTGAGCAGGAATGCAAGAGATCAAATCCTTCCCCATCTCACCCACTGTCTCCCAATGCCAGGGTATTCAAGTCTCTGCTATTTCCAAGAGACCCCGGCCTTATCCCTGACCTGCTTGTCATTACATCAGAATCCTTCCTCTCCACCCTTCCAGCCTTGCCTGGCACTGGGATAAAATCAAGACAGAATTGGTTGGCTGCCCCCGCCCCCGGGAAGGCTAAAGCAGAAAGAAGATCTTATTTATGCTTTTCTCTTCATGTAATCTTCCTTTTTTCCTTCTTCTTTTTCTCCTTTTTTTTCCTTCTCCTTCCCTCCCTTCCTTTCTTCTTTATGTGGCTTGCTGTTTGCTAATATCCAACTCCAGACCATTTTTTCTGTTTGGCAGAGGAAGCGGTTTTATTGTTTGGTAACTCCAGGGGGGGATATGGTGTCTATGATGTTGTCTAGGCCAAGCCTCCCCCAGGAAGGTTAACTACCTCTACTCTCCTCTCAAAAGGGAGAAGATGGCAACCACACACTTGAGCACCAGCCATTCTCTTTTGCAAGAAAGCAGATCTGTTCCTGCCCAGGAGGACTTTTTCTTCCCACAGTGGTGTAACTCAACATTGCAGTGCCATTTACTGGGGCCAGGACCAGTTATCTGGAATCTGAATCTATAGAGTGCAAATTAGGAATAAGGGAAACAGAAGACCATTTTTCCCCCAACCACTTTCTGAAGAAAAAAAAAAGGGGGTTCTTCTAGGAGCAGCACCTAGGCTGATCAAAGGGTCTGTTCATCTGTCTCAAGAGCCAATGCAGAAGCCCAGCATGGAGCTAAAAATATGCACTCACAGTCCTAGAAAATTGTATTCATTAAACTCTACCTACAGGTCCTCACCCAGAATCTGCTCTGTGCCAAAGCAGCGTGCTGCTGTTAATCCTCCTTTATAGATTAGGCAGTAAAATAAAGAGGGTGGGGCTGAAATGCAGGGGAAGTCTGCACACGTGTTTGGAAAAGAAGAAAAGGAAAAGCACGGGGAATTCTTGTTCTCTCCTTCATGTTCCGAGTTGCCAGGGCTGTCCAGACACCACAGAGAGACACAGGGCTTTTTAGCGTTTGCAGTGTTTTCACTTCCACTGGGCAAGTGCTACATGTAAAATGGGAATTTAGAGACAAGATCAAGCAAATGCTTTTCCAACTGTGGCACATTGTTATTTTTTAGCTCCCTCCCTTCTTTGTGTGCTGAGGAGGAAACAATAATAATCACAGCTGACATTATTGAGCACTTACTATGTGCCAAGCACCCCGTAGCACGTTATTTACGTGATCGCATTTCATTCTTGCCACATCCCTCTGAGGTGGGTGCATGTGTTGCCACATTTTGCAGATGATGGTGTTATATTTCAGAAAAGCGAAGTCACTTGAGCAAGTTAGCAGCAAAACTGAGATTTGAACCCCGAACTTCCAAAACCTCATTCTAAAACCTCTATGCCGTTATGCCATCTCTAAATATTTCCCATGAAAGTCTGTTTTCTGGCTTTCATGGATGATTTTGGTGACTGCTCCTTAATAATCGTTCTGCTATTATCTTCATCTTTACCATTTTCTGCAATCAAGCGATAGGGTTCCTTGGAGGCAGGAAGTGTGTCCCCCTCACCTTACCTTTGTATTCGCCACAGCTCTTAAACCAAAGTGTCTTGCACAGAAGAGGAGCTGAATAATTATTTGTTGAGATGCACTTTCCATGCTCTCTGTGTCTAAATGAAGCCCACGGAAACAGGTTCACTGCCCAAACATGGAGCTATCCTCCTCTTTGCAGACATCCCCTTCCTCTTGTTTTGTTTTCGAAAGGTTGATTTTGAATTGGAGGGACACTGCGGTTGTCTTGTCACTTAGCAGGATTTGAAAGTGAGAGTCTGTGTAGTATGTTAGGCTGCCCTCCGCAATCAGGCCTCACACTCGCGAGCCTCTGATTGTAGGAGTCGCCTGATTTGCATGATGAGGATGCGCCAGCTGCTAGAGCACACAGGACTGCACCTGACACAATCATCGCGCAGGATTAGCGCGGGGAAGCAGGGATCCACTGCGCGGGCGGCGTGGCAGTCTCAGCCCCACATTAGAGTCGCTCATGCAAAATGACCCAAATTTGCAACGAGCACAATTAGCAATCCAAAGATGCATGTTAATTTGGGGACCTCATCTTTTCCCTACATTTCCCTAAATTAAAAATATTAAATATACTCTTTCCTAGACAAGTCTGGGCATGGAAACAATTCAGCAGGATTATGGGTTTGTAAAATAAAAATAAATAAATAAAACGTGCAAACCCCAGAAAAATGTGGATTTCTTTGGGTAACTAGCCACCAACCTGCTCCCCCAGCCCCACCCCCGAGGTATTACGTTTGGCATCAAATAGGGTAAGGGCTTTGTGGTGTCATGCCCCTTCTAAATCAGCAGCAAATGGCTATTTCCAATAATAAAAATAAAATTAAAAATAGCTCTAATGTGGGAAAGGCAAATTTAAGCTATCAAGAAAGAATTCGATATTGTCTATTATGTATTAATATTTCTGAAACTATGTTTGGGTCACACATAACCACAGCTACCACTTAGCTATTTCAGGATTCCCTAAAAGTATAAGAGATTGTGCTGAATTCTTATTAAACAGATTTAAATATCAAACTGAACATTCTCAAACCCTGGGCTGTGCTTCTATATGTCTGCAATCTATAGGTATTGAAATGCTCACCTATACTTTAGGAAAAAAAAACCCACAACATTTTTGCAAAGATTGAATAAATGATCATTTGAAGCAAAAGCATGCAGTTCAAAAGCTAAACCTCCCATTGGAGAACAGAAAATTTAATGAGCTTTTAATGGAATGCAATGCTCAGAGTAGTAAATTATTTGTTAGTTGACGATGCAATCAGCATGCTGATTAAGGTTGCTTGGTTTTTTACTAAACATTAACTGAATGAAAACGGGTAGTCCTTGTTCTGCTTGGGGGGCTTTAAGGAAGCAAATGGACTTTCAGAACAGAGATTGTCAATAAAGGTGAGTGCACTCCAGGTGTCATTTGAATATGATGATAAAATACTAGTGATAAATATTTAAAAGCATTTTAAATCCACAATGTTCGCCTAGAGTATTATGGACTCTGTTTAAAGAAACAGTGGGCCTTAGCAGGCCTAACAACAATCCCTCTATCTCTCTCTAGAAAGAAATATCTAGATCTGCTTTCTTTTATTGCAAAAAAAAAGGGGGGTGGGTATGCTTTGAAAATATAAACCAACATGAATTCAGGGACCAGGAACTGTTTGGGAGTTTGGAATGTAAACCTAAAGAAAAAAGACAAAAAGGACAAAATCAAAACAAAGAAAAATATTCTGACAGCAAATAAAAGAGACATCTGTTTCTCTGGGTAGATTAAGATAAAAATTTAATCAAGCAGTTTCAATATTCCAATGTTTAAAAATAATTGTATTGAATATATATATTTAAATTTATAAATGATGGCATTCTGAGGGCAAGAAGTATTGTAATATTAGAGTTATATTCTATCTAATTTAGGTCTGAAAAGGAATAAAAAGGAGAACAAAAAATGGAAATAAATTATGTAATGCTTATTTTGTTTTAACGTTGTTAATACAGAATTTATTAAAATATCATTTACTATATATTAATTGACATGTTCATTAGCCATAAATTATTGCTTCTGAGAGAGATTTTGTTACTGACTGTTCAAATTGCTAGATTTATTTCTCTCCCAAAAGAGGGGCTTTTTGTTTGTTTTTCTCCCTACCAATTGAAGAATCGTGGGTTTGTAGGTTAATTTTCTTTGAACAGCTACAAAGTTTTTTTTCTATAAATCCCAATTAGTTTCATCATCGGTGATTCTCTGGCAATGATCAGGTACCCTTAAAATCCGATAAATAACTACCTCTCACTTTTAACTATTCCTGTTTATGACCCAAGAGGTTAAAAGCCTTTGACTGGCATTTGACTTCTGACCTCATATAAATGTTATCTTATCAGTTCCTGCTTGTTAACTTGTATTGAGTGCTTGTCCCTGATGGCTTTTAGATAAAGGGTTGTGGGTTTTCTTCCCTTTTTTTTCTTTTTAATATATTTCCTATAGGAACTACACCATTTGCTTTGTTCTTTGCCTAGTGCAGTCAAGTCTACACAGAAACCTGCTATAAATCTGTTAGAAAGCAGCAAATATACTTTTATTTATCTCTTATAATATTTTTAGTTCAGCTTTATGAGTGGGATTTTATTATTTAAAATAGATTATAACTAATAGTAGTAATCGCTAGCGATCTTAATCTTTTAACATGTTTGTCAGGAAGCTGGTTAGCCTGGTATTCTCTTTGTAAAAAAAAATATTAAAAAATCTAAAAAAAAAAAAAAATTTTGGTTTTGTATTTTGCACCAGCATGAGATGAGTTAGAGATAATTTATGGAAATCTTGTCTCCCCAGACTTCAGAAGTCTGCCTAATGAGAGAGTCATCAGTAAGATATATCTTTTTTAAAAAAAATCGAATCCAGACCATGAACAGTGCAATTTCTAACCTTTGGGGAGGAAGGTGTTGGCCTGGCGTCCTCCCTTGCCCTTTAGTCTTAAGAATTAAGAAGGATTTTGGCCTTTTATTCCATTTACAGCTGTGTGTTGTTCACATGTTCAAGTGTGTTTGTGTGAGTCTAGTCACTATGTACAAAACTAAATATATTTGAATGTTTGCATTTTAATCTCTGTCCATACCTCGATGGCATCATGAGGGTATTCTAGGCAGATGTTGGTGCCTCAGAGGCTGCCTCATTTGCAAATGACCTACAATGTGATTTCTAAACAAAATATTACATTAATTTCTATGTGGAAAACAGGCAAGAAGGAGGGGAAAGAAGGAAGAGGCAGCCATCTTGGAGCCATTTTGCCTTTTAGTCCCATTCTTTCTCCTCCTAGGGCTCTACAGTTAGAATATTATCTTTATTTTTAATTGGCCCTCAACATAAAGCAAGAGGCATAGACAAGAGACCTTTGTATTCATGTTTGGAGTAGAAAAAAAGTTGTAACCTCTTTGGACTTTAAATAATAACTGCGACTATAGACAAGCTACACCTATTATTCTCTAACCTTCTAAATAAATATACATATAAATGAAGCATATGCCACAGCTTGTAAGAGACCTGTACAAAACCTATTAAGGGAAACAAATGTCTATTTGGACCATTCATTTACTGCTATCTAAAGAATTAATATGTCAGGAAAGTTATCTGCCCTTCCTCCTCCTTCATTCTTTCTTTTCTGCCCAAACACACACTCACACGCACACACACAAACACACACATTCAAACACCCCCACTATGAAGAGATGGCAACCCTGGAGACTATTTTTTTTTTGAAACAGGAATTCCCTTTCTCTTAGATCATAGGTATTTAAGAAAGAGTTTTTTGTTTTTTTGTTTTTTGGGGTTTTTTTGAGATCAGCTTTCACTTATAGTTTTATTTTAATTTTCTGTGCGTGGAGCTCTGCTGTGCTCTGTAATGCCCAGCACTGCTTTCATCACACTCATATTCTGACAACACACAGGTCTAATGCAATTTGTTCTAACTTTTCATTTCAACCATTGCTTTTCTCAAAGTGGCCAGAGTTTAAAGACTGCCAAAGCAAAGGGAAAAGAAATACCACGGCAGGGGGAAAAAACAAACCAACCCCCAAACTGGTGCTGGTATTCACTGCATTGACACATTCTCAAATGTTTTCTCTGTAGTTATAACACAAAAGCGCTTTCTTCCCTGTTTTGATGTGTTAAAGATGGAAAGAGAGAGGACACTCCGAAGTGGTAAAATAAGTATTTGGAAAGTATTTCTTCTTTGAATGCCCAGCATATGTCAATAACATGTAGATACTCTACAGTTTCATATTAATTCAATTTTTAAAAATGGAAACAGGGTGAAAAGTTAAATTAAAACACCTTGTATCACAACTGCCAAACTTTTAGCTATCAATGTTGCCTTCTTTTTTGTATAATTAGAAGTGCATGCAGAGCCAGTCATTTTACTGTCTCTGAAATAAGGATAACAAACATACTAAATCCCTCTGAGAAGGGTGTGAATGGATCAATAATGAATTGTTGTCTATTTCTGATATTTGGCAGAAGAAATCATAAACTTTTACTCCTGTGATGTCAGTCATCTGAATTAATTTTCCTAGGCAATGTTATTTGCAGATTGTTTTACTGAGCAAAACAAATAAGGATTTGAAAGACAAATAATGACCTGGTTCTTAAACACTGTCTCCTGCTCTAAGGACCAAATTCTTTGAGTTGAATCCCAGAGTTCTTTACAATTGTGGTTTGTGTCCTGGCTTTTCACAAAAGATTTTAAAATGTAAGCTAGATGATTTCAAAACTGATGAAAAGTCATACTACCATTCTTATTTATCCCGGGTTCATGTTTTAGTATATGGTCATAGGTCTTAGTGAAAAGAATTGTTTACTCAAACCAGTTTCTATACCAGTTATCACAGACTTCCTCCCATTTTTTTTTAATGTAATAAGTTTAAATCATTGTAGTTAGAAGAGCAATAAGATGAGGGGAGATCAAGGCCTTTGATTTTTCTGTATCATCCAGCTGTATAAAGTTACTTAAGGATGTATTTTTAAATATTGCTCATATGTTTATAAACTTACCCTGTCAATATACGAAGAAATATAGTCCATTTGTTTTTTACGTGCCTCAAAAATCAGACCTGCCCTGTTTGGAAAACACAGAGGCTTCTGTGAAATCATGGACCTTTTGTGTTCAGCAAGGAAGTTGAGGCTGTGGTGTCAGAGACATCAAAATGTTTAAGACCCAAGTTATTACTGCTAAGGTTTTAATCCTTTCCTTTGCAAAGAATAATGCAAATGGAGTTCTTATTTCCTTGGATCTCTGTCCTCTCTTCTGTATGTTGTCTGTATTTGTATAAATGGTGGTGTTCTTTCCACTAGAATGTTTAATTTGAGCACATGCTCTTTGATAAATTCTTATCCTCACACCCCTCAGCTTGTCTGAGGTTTAGAATGGGGACTGGTTTTCCTTATTTTTAAAGCTTTGTCATTTAAACCCAGAGAGCCAGGACTGGCTTTCCATCCATTTGTACATGTCCAAAGGTCACACTCAAGATCACAAGCCATGGTCACATCCTTCTTATGGGAAAATGATAAAATAATATCCTCAGGCATCTGAGCCTAGGGGCATGGCCTGGACACACATCTTGGCCTCGTCTGCCTTGAAGAGTGAATTGTCCATCCCCAAAGTTGGTCTTTAGAGGTGACCAGGCAGATGCTGGCAAGTCAGCCGGCTATCCTCTTGGACAGAGGTTCTATAAATCAGAGAAACGTTGGTGTGGTTGAAAGAGGAAGATAGTCCGGCCTGAGGGAAGACACGTAAATCTCTCCTAGAGCTTTGTTCCCAGTAGGGAGTGGGGGTGAGAGTTGGGGTAGCTGGGGGCTGGGGGCTGTTATGAATGCCCTGGCCCTCCTGCAGTGGTGCTAACTTGTACATGAGAGCCGCCACCACCCTTCCCAAACATCGGGCGCTTGGAAAAGTCAAGCGCCGCCAAGTCCTGATTTTCATTTAATAGTCAAAACCAAGATGCATTTGGGCTATGGTGATAGGACAGCTCCCTTGAAAAGATTATTTGAACTACAAAGGCATTCATTTAGGGCCAGCAATGTTGCAAAAGGGCCTGCTAGAAATTAGCAGCCTGTCCTGGTATTTGGAGAGCAAGAGTGACAACTTATTGGAAGTTCTCAAGGAATCATTTATATTTCACACTCCACTAGGCAGCTGATTTGAGATTGTCTGTTAGCATAACAAAGGCTCCGAGCCTGTGAACTTCAGAAACCTTTCGACCTCTTAGCTGCTGGCATGAATAGCCCCCAGTCCTGCCTATAGAGATCTCCCAAAGCTCCCCTGTTCGTGGCTAAATTGTTAATCAGGGTAATTTAATATAGTTTTCAATATGCCTCATCTCTTATTGGGAAAGGTATTCACAGCTTCCCT